ACCTAGGTGTAGGTATATAAAAGAGAGAATAATCTAAATTGATATGACTTCATTTTGTATGGCCAGCTTTTCTATATTATGGGAAAAGTTGGCTATTAAACATAAAGAGACACATTATTACATTAATTATTAGAAAAAGGGAACTCGTATGACTTTTGCTTATCATGTCTCAAAACAGATTTTCCAAAGAGGAAACCCTCCCCAACGAACAAAATAGTAAAATTAAGCAAACTGCGTTCATCAACAGTGCGAGTAATTCTGAGCAATGCCATTTTTATCTTAATAACATAAAAATCTAGCATTTTGATTGATACAGATTATTTTCTTCATGAGTTAGATCACAGGCATAAATTGGCATAATTTCAGAGAAAAAAATAACTATTTTCCAAATGCACAAATACAAATTTCATTTCGTTTATTATCCTATTCCATTTTGTAACGGGGCATTACATTTATTTCATTTTCACAGAACTGTAGCTAGTTCTGTTAATAACAAAAATGGTACTTTTTATCATCATCTAATACTAATCAATCATTCAAAAATGCCTGCATAGGATTATTTTGTACAAAATCACAAAGCAAAATGAATTTGAAAGTAAAAGATTCCCTTGGAATGTATAGTATATTTCTTTTCTTTCTTCTTTTTTTTAATCACTCTCAACAGAGTGGTTTTATAGCCAACACATTTTCATTATTTCATTTTCTCTTACGCAATTCTGAAGAATTTCACATTTTGCCTTAAATATAATATTCTGAGTGAGTTTCACTTTATTGTCCACATGAATGCTATTTTAACTCTATCCCAGCTCTATTTCATTTTTGTGAAAGATACTGAATTTTAAAGTTGTCTCTTATAAAGTTGTGGTCTTAACGTAAATGAAACAAATTTGGAACTACGAAACTGAAAATTAAAAAGTAACTTGCAGTCAGGTAAAAATGATATAGGCTAGACCTATAAGGCTTGTGTCGTAGATATTGCATACCATGTGGGCATTATATGCACAAATTAGCCTACCTTTGTGGACACCTGAAACTCATAGGTCTCATCCTTAGAAAGATGGTTTCTATTTCAAATTTTCTACATTCTGATGCCAGGCATCTCACCTGATGCTCAGCTATCTTGTGAAAGAAACCAGATACCTTTTTGCAAATGTGAACCTCATTATTATTCCATTCTGCTAGGGTCTGTCAAAAATTTGATATCAGTAGTAACTCAGCTTCATAGTTTCATCTAGCCATCAAGTCAAATCTAGCTAATGGGCTGGAATCATAGATTGGCTTTCATGCCCTCTGGTGGATGCTCAAAGAAACTGCTACACTCATTAGTAAAAATGAAAAAAACAAACAAAAACAAACAAAAAAAACCTCATTTTAGAAAAATGAACATTCTTGGCCTGGCGCTGTGGCTCCACCTGTAATAACAGGAGGCCGATGTGGGCGGATGACCTGAGGTCAGGAGTTCGAGACCAGCCTGGCCAACATGGCAAAACCCTGTCTCCTCTAAAAATACAAAAAAAAAAAAAAAAAAAAAGTTAGCCATCCATTGTGGGGGGCACCTGAAATCCCTGCTACTCGGGAGGCTGAGGGAGGAGAATTGCTCGAACCTGGAAGGCGGAAGTTGCAGTGAGCCGAGATTGCACTACTGCACCGCAGCCTGGGTGACAGTGAGACTCTGTCTCCAAAAATAGATAAATAAATAACTTTCTTTAACATGGGAAGAAAAAAAATTCAGTCCTATTACAAACACAGAAATCAACCAACCAACCAACCAACACCAAATAGGTACTTTTGTTTGAAGTGCACTGACCCATAAATGCAAGTAACTTTAAAATAAATTCCGATTACTTCAACTCTGACTTTCACTACTGTCTTAGGCAAATTAGCTGCTAAATCATTAGCCCTGTTTCTAGATGTGCTTACACTTTTCTAAGGGTTAATTATAACCACTGCCTGCTCTGCAAACGGAATGGGATGTAACATATGTAGCTCATAGGATACAAACAAAAACTTTTTCTTAGAGTCAATCATTTGAGGTCAATGTAGTTATATTGATCATTCTCTGATGTTTACTTATTATAGTCACTTTTAAAGTTAGAAGATCATAGTGGAAAAATATCTGAAATAGGAACTGGAAGAAGACAATACCTAGTCTCTAGTTTTGCTTCTTACACTAATTAGCTATACAACTTGGGCAAGTCAAATCCTCTTCCAGGGTCCACACTTTCTCATCTGTTAAATGAAAGCAGACACACATGCATAGATAGATAGATAGATGGATAGATAGAGAGAGAGAGAGAGAGAGATCTTTTGTGTCTATTTTTTTATAACAGAATCTGTGAGCTTTTCAACTATAAAAGTATATATATACATTATTGAAAAATTAAAAAATCGAGAAACATAAAAAATGAAATCACCTGTAGCCCCATTATCTGAAGATATGTTTTACATTTTTTACTTCTTTATAGTATGACTTCCTTTGTTGGCTTGGAATCACAAGCTATAACGCTGCCAAATCATGTACTTGTTTAATTTTATATTTCTTTCTATTTAAGAAATAACTGAACTTCATTTTAAAAGTCAAGTAGTACTATAGAATCGTAATAGAAGTCAGAACTTTCCTGCCATGCCTAATCCCACACGTTATCTCTGAGTCCAATTTCTTGAGACGACAATTTTCAACTCTTTTAGTATTTTGTTACAAATATTTATTATCTAATTCTAAAATGATGTGCTTTAGCACCATTTGGTTTTTCCTTTAATTAATTAAATTTCCACCATCTGAGATTAGCATTTATGTTTCTTACTGTATCCTGCCACCTTCCTTCACAAACCTTTTCTCTTTCCCTATCTTGTTAATATAAATAATACATATTTTAAAATATTAATTTAAAATTTTTAATTAATTTAAATATTACTTACATTATTCATCGCTTAACCATTTTTAACAGTACTAATTATTTGTAATTTTCATAGCTTAACCATTTTATAGTTAATCTAATTTTTGTTTTTCATAGATTTAATAAATGCCTTTTTTCACTTCCTCTGTTTTCTACTTACTACTAATTTAACATTGAAGTTACATGTATATTTTTCTTTAATCATTCCTCTTATTTTCTGTAGCTCATTGCTGTTATGTTCTGATTGGAATTGGCTCTTCTTCGGGCTGCTGCAATACTGTCTTCCTATAGATTAACTTCATTATCATTTTCAGAATTCTCTTCACTTCTTTTGCCTCTAATTCTTGGACATTTCTGGATTGCCGTAGCAAATATTAGCTTAATCATTCTATTTCTTCCATGACACTTAGCAAAGCAGAGAAACTCAAAGTCTCAGTCAATCATGACAACCATCTGTGTCCATCTCATTCATCTTTCCAAGTACTAAAATCTTATGATTAACTTTCTTCTTACTGTCATCTTCTTATCTCTGTCTCTGTGAATTAAAAACATTTTAATTTCTTTCCTATAATCAGTAGGTTTCTGAAGAGAGTAGACGTGTTCATTCTCCCATGTTTAATTTGAAGTTAGGAATAGCCAGGTCACAAAATTGTCATTAGAATAAAATCTGATAGCATATATGAAAGCAGTTTGTTCACCATATAGCCCTACACACACACCAGGGACTACTGCAGTACATAAACACAAGCTGCTTCAGATCTTTTTCATCAGCAGATACAAGTGAGATTATGTTAACAGCACTAAGTCAGCTGTGTCTGGCTTTTACTCACCCTCACTTTCATAAGGCCTTACCCCCATTAAATCCTCTTCCAGTTTTTCGGGGATTTCCAGAACTAGGAAACATTACTTTAAAACTTAAGTACAGGCAATGATTTCCTTCACTTGAAGATTTACATTCTAGCCCTGGAAGAAACATACCAGACTACCAGTAGAAAAGTACATGATGCTCCTTATATTATAAAAAGATTACTCCACATATTAAAAGTTTCTTTACATCATGTGTCATTAGGGAATTGCAAATTAAAACAACAATGGAATACTACTGCATATCTATTAGAATGGCCAACATTCAGAAGACTGACAACATCAAATGCTGGTGAGAATGTGGAGCAACAGGAACTCTCATTCATTGCCACTAGAATTCCAAAATGGTACAGACACTTTGAAAGATAGGTTAGTGGTTTTGTTGCAAAACTAAACATACAATCCAACAAACATGCTCTTGGTATTTACCCAAAGGAGTTAAAAACTTATATCTCCACAAAATCTTGCATATGGATATTGACAGTAGCTTTATGCATAATTGCCAAAACTTGGAAGCAACCAAGATATCCTTCACCAGGTGAAGGCATACGTAAACTTTGGTAAAGCAGACAATGGATTTTATTTAACCCTGAAAAGAAATAAGCTATCAAGCCATGAAAAGTCATAGAGGAAACTTACGTGCATATTACTAGGTTAAAGAAGCTAACCTGAAAAGGCTACATACTGTATGATTCCAACTATAGGGCATTCTAAAAATGCAAAGCCATGGAGAAAATAAAAAGACCAGTGGTTGTTTGGATTTAGAAGGGAGGGAAGAAAGGATAGATAGGCAGAGCACAGAGGACTTTCAGGGGCAGTGATATTACTTTGTGGGACACTGTAATGGTAGGTACATGTCATTCTAAATTTGCCAGACCTAGAGAATTACAACACCAAGAGTAAGTCATAATATAAACTATGGACTTTGGATGATAATGATGTCAGTATAGGCATGTCAATTGTAAGAAGTGTATCACTCTGGCGAGAGATGTTGGTAATGGGGGAGGTTATGTAAGTGTCAAAGCAGGGTGTATATAAGAAATCTCTCTACCTTCTGCTCAATATTCCTGTGGACCTAAAACTGCTCTTAAGATAGTTTATTACAAAGGATTACCCTAGCTTCTATGGCTCCAAGTGTTTTTTGGCCTGAGCAACAGTTGCAGTTAACTGAGATGGGGAAGGTTTGGATAAAACAGATTTGGAAAAAGAAGATTAGGAAATAAGTTTGGTCAAGTTAAATTTTAGATATCTATTGATGTTTATTGTTTTGTTCAACAAATTTGTCAGCTGAAGATCATATGGCATCTGCATGGATGTTTTTTTCTGTCCCCCTGCTGATGGCCACTGCCAAAATGCCACTTGAAGATATCTCATTGCTACTTCTGCAGTCCTCATGAGAACAGGTATCTATGCCGAAGGTTCTTAGCATGGTGCTGCAATAAATGCCAAGCCTTGAGGCTCCAGGGAAACACTATGGACTATGGAGTCCATATTCATTCCTGTAAAAGGGAACTTTTCTTTTCTCCCCGTATTGGCATTAAACGTGCTCCAAATCTTCAGCAATCTCCTTCACCTTCTATCTACAGTTTCTTCCTCCTCAGGCTGAGGCATAAAACCTCTTAGACTGAGACTTGTAACCTTTTCCTTTTCCTCTTCATTTGTCCTTTACCCTTCAACTCCAAACGTTTCTTTTTCTTAATCTCTCCCCTCGCCTTCATTCAAATATTATCTTTCTGGTTCTGGTTCTGGTTCCGGACATGTTGGATTCTTGGCTTGGGCTATTGTTAAATTATAATAATTTTTATGGACTCCACACTAGGAGAGAGTTTAAAGCAGAAAATGGTGTGATGTATACTGCAGTAGAGTCTTAAATGTGATGGAAACAACTTTCAGCACCTAATCGTTGCCTATTTGGGTATGAGTGGAAAAGCATTAATTTGGTTGTGTAGCATAAAAGTATGACACAGCAGTGACACATCAAGAGCCCACTAATTTACTATTTAAACATCTCCATGACCCCAATTTTTTCCAACATCCATTCTTTTGTCGAATTGTCCTTCCTCAGACTATATGAATAGACCTCTGGACATTTCCGATAACTGAAATAACTCTTCCTAAATTTGATGTTTTAGAATTACAGATGTCGTTAATGCTTTAAATTGATAATCCACACCTAAAATCAGCTTGTTTGTAGAATTTCTTCATATGGAGGTGGGGAGCCTAACGTGCCAAAACATGGAGCAGGAGCAGGATATAGGTCAGCGGTTTGAGTTTGAAGGTGAATTCCAACAGGTGAACTCACAGCTGCTTCTGTCCCTGGAAGGAGAAAGATGAAGACTTGTAATCTTTCTAGTGAGCATAAAACATAGGTACAGGAACTGCCCAGTAAAATCCGGCATTTCTGAAGCAACAGGAAATTATTTGTATCTATGAGAAAAAATTACAACTATCTTGCTCTTTGCAGGGAAGGTTTAGTCACCATAGTAAAAAAAAAATCGCTTACCTGAACCGATGAAATCATCATTGTCTAACCCATCAAGAAGCATTTACAATTTAGCAGCTGAAACTAGAAGGAATATCCTCTTTTGTACATCACAAAACAGGATTCCTCAACACTAATAGCATTTCAGCTAATGCTCCCAACATGGGAAATGTAAGTTGCATTAGAAAAATTAAAATATCACTTTTGAAATTGTATTATTTTACATTTATGGTTGCAAACTTCAACTAATACAAGTAATTAATTATTCTTCTTTAGTAAATAGTAAAAATGTTAAGCTCAGTGATGAAAAGCATGTATTTAAAGTATACACACACAATAAAGGAATATACTCTAAAATTTAAAAAAATACTTTGAAATCAAAGCTGGTGACTTCTAGATTAGGCATAATACAGGACATTAACTATTACAAACTGGCCTTTTCTTTCACTAACTGGTAACTCTGAAAGAAAGACAATATGCTTACTCTAATGGCTCTTTTGGAAATTGCCTGTTAGTATTTCCTTGAAAGATTGTGTTTGGGTAACACACAAAAAAAGTGCCATTTTATAATCATCTTTATATTAATATATGGCTGTATATATAAAGATGGTTTATATATATATACACACACACACGCACACATACATACACACATATATATAAATGCTTATATATAAAGAATATGTATTCACCTGGATATATTCAACTGGATCTTTACCCACCTTTAAATAATTTTGACTGCCTTTTGCCAAAACAATAGCAACCACCAAAAATTCATCTTTAAAAAGAAACTAGTCCCTTGAACTGAATCTGGCCTCCGGCTGTTTTTATATATTGAATTTACGAAACACAATCTTATTCATACATTTACATATTGTCTATGGCTGCTGTTGTACTGCCATGGCAGCGATAAGTAGTCCCCACCTAGACCATATATTTTGCAAAGCCAAAAATAATTTCTATCTGTCTGATAATGGAAAAAGTTTGCTGACCTTCCTTAAAGGAGTAAGATTTGATGCCATTAGGAATATTCCAAACAACATGCCACAACGATCAAAAGAATTCAAAGAGTAGTTGCATATTAGACATTAGCTGCTTCACTAGGATCCATATGGAGATTACTCAAAATGATTACTTTGAAGAGGATAATGTTAATTTAGAATGATGGATTTTCATACAGTTGCGTTTGTCTTATTTCTTGTCTCACAGGTACCAGAGCAAAGACTAATAATTCAAGTATGTAAAGAGTGGGGCATATTTAGAATATATGTCTCACCTTCTGGTTTAGCACTTTTCTTAGAGTTATCTATTTGATTAAATAGTCTACTTTTGGGTTATTACATAATTTTTTTTACCTCAGTTTTCTCTTAGGCAATAAAGGTATAATACTAGTGTCTACCTCTATAAAAGCAAGGCTAAATGAGTATAAAGTACTTAAAACAAGGCCTGGCACAGTAATTATGCATCAGGGTTTACTATTATTATTACAATATGTCAAGAACTGTACTAATGCTAGGAACGTGCATGTATCTTCTTTTATTTACAATATTATTTTTCAATCCATCCTCTTTTCATAGTTAATAATGATTTAGACATTATCATTATTAATTATAATATAGAAGTTATTAAATGAAAAGTATCATGGAGTTAGAGCCCTTTGCAGTTTGTAAGTTTGGGCTGATGTCAGATAAGTCTGTGGGACTTGATCAGTCAGAGTTAACACTGGTAAAATACAGTTGTCCCAGTAATTTCCTCCATTCTGAATATTTGCAATGAATGATAGCTATTTCCTTGGTGAACTGCACCTAGTGTATTCAGTACAAAGTCAAAGGTAACTCTCTTTCTGCCTAGAAATGGTCAACCAAACTACTTGACACATCTATTATTTATACTAGCTCCAATTTATGTCTACGATTGCCACTGTCAATATTGTGCTCCCAGTGATAGAGTCTTCATAGTTGCTTTCGTAGAAAACTTTCATTATCTTCTTACTACAAATTTTGCTGTTGATCTTAAACTTGTTATTAAAACCACAAGGCATTGGGTAAACATAATTAAGCCAATGTGCTCAGAAAGTTTTGAAAACCAAATATAGGTTATATCAGTTTTCAATTTTTTTTCAAAGCATGTTTACTTATAATATCAAGTGATTGGATACTGGGGAGAGCAGGCATTTCTATCTTTTGACAAATTAAGAAACTGAGATGCCAGCAAAAATCCTATAGTTTTTACAGAACTGCTGTCTAAGATATCAGAGTTTATTGTTTAATTTTGTAAAACCAATACACTTACTGCTTAGTTTTTATAGCCAGAGTGGAGATTTCCTATGTTTTAGGGAATCACTCAAATAGACTTCACCTCTTTCTATATGTTCTTTCTACCTATTTCTCCTCTTTCCTTTACTTCATTCCTTTCTCTTCTATGGGAGTGGCCAGAAGGACTGAATTTGAATCACAGTTCTGCCATCTACTTACTACGTTGCTTAATCTCTAAGTGCCTTTGTTCCCTCATTCGTAGAGTGGTCAGAATGATAGTGAACTTTCATAGAGTGATAAGGAAGAATAAATGAGATTCGGGATGTCAAGTGTTAGCACAGGGCATGGCTCCTGGGAAATGCTCAATGAATGAGTCATTACTATTATCACGTCTTTCCATGAAAATCTGTGAATGAAATACTTCCTTTTTTATTACTGAAAATAAGTCACAGAATATTTACACATACAACATGAAACATAGGGAAATGACATTTCTGAAAAATCATAAAATAAAAGAATCCTGGGAGACTTGGAGGGAGAAGAGAGCAGAGCCTGTAAGACCTTGCTTCTAGTTCACCTCTCTGGAGCCCTCTTTTTTCTCCCCAGCTCAGAGCACTCATATGTAATCACTGCTGGAATGCTGGTATTTCTATTTTCCCAGAAATAAGAAAGAGGGAAGATTATCCCTGAAACTGCAGAAGAAATGGGGTCAGAGAGATTGTATAGTTGCTTTATGAAGCAATCTGCCCCAATGAGAAGCTAAGCCAAGATAAGTGTCCCTAGGACGGGTGTCCCTTTGGGCTTCATCTTGCAATCAGCTCAGGAAAGCAGGGAACCTCATCGGGAAGCCTTGTCAAGCCTGAGGGAACCCAGCTCCAATCCACAGACCTCATGGCATAGAGGCAAAGGGACCCTTATTTAAATGTTATGTGATTGATTATGTTTTATTAAAAACACGGACAAACAGTTGTGGGGGTCCCTCTCCTATGCTCTCCAATTCTCTCTTTTCTAATGCATAGTCAATTGTTTTTCTGCCTCAAGCTCTATTTGTCCTTTTCTCACCTCCAAAACTCCAAACATTTTCCATTATCTTTAAATGTCTTGCTTCCTCATTAATATGGGTTTTTATTCAGCATCACAACTTTATTTTTAATAAAACATTATTGTCATCCTCATTTTTAGTAATTAAAATAAAAATAACCTTTCATTTTTAATAAATTCCAAAATTCCTTTGACACTGCCTTTTAATATACAAATTTAAGAAACAAAACAAAACAATTAACCTAATCAATAAAACCAAAATCCTTATCTTTTTTTAAAAACTATTTTTAATATCTGTTTTACCCTATCATAATTATAGTCCTTGGATTTATGAACTGCTGAGCAATGATCACAAACAATAGAGATTGGGGATAGAGATGGTCATGTGAGAATTTTAATGATTTTTCTCTTTTTTTCCCTCAATCTTTACTAAAAATTTGCATACATTCCTTTTAAAAAATCACTGTCTGTGGCTCAATGTGTGTTTTCACTTCCCATTTCCACATTTTAGAGAGGGAGGAAAAACTGGTTGTAGATTGATATGATTTGGATCTGTGTCCCCACCCAAATCCAGTGTTGAATTGTAATCCCTAATGTTGTAGGTGGGGCCCGGTGGGAGTTGACTGGGTCATGGGAATGGTTTCTCATGAGTGATTTAGCACCATACCCTTGGTGCTGTTCTCGTGATAGTGAGTTCCCATGAGATCTGGTTGTTTAAAAGTGTGTAACACCTCCCCCCTCCCTCTCTCTTCCTCCTGGCCCAGCCATGTGAAGTGCTTGCTCCCTCTTTGCCTTCTGCCATAATTTAAGTTTCCTGGGGCCTCCCCAGAAGCCAAGCAGATGCCAGCATCATGCTTCCTATACAGCCTGCAGAACCGTGAGCCAATTTTAAACTTTTTTTTTCATAAATTACCCAGTCTTAGGTATTTATTTACAGTAATGTGAGAATGGACTAATACAGGAAGTCTTCTGTGTTTTCAATTGTATTATCACTTAGGAGATATTCTGAAGGCATTATTAAATTAGGTAAGATAGTGAGTGATATGGTTTGGCTGTGTCCCCACCCAAATCTCATCTTGATTTGTACTCCCATAATTCCCACGTGTTGTGGGAGGGATTTGGCGGAAGACAAGTGAATAGCAGGGTGGCTTCCCCCATACTGTTCTTGTGGTAGTGAATAGGTCTCATAAGATCTGATGGTTTTATCAGGGGTTTCCGCTTTTGCATTTTCCTTACTCTCTGTCTGCTGCCATCCATGTAAGATGTGACTTGCTCCTCCTTGCTTTCTACCATGATTGTGAGGATTCCCCAGCCACATGAAACTGTAAGTCCAATTAAACCTATTTCTTTTGTAAATTGCTCAGTCTCGGGTATGTCTTTGTCAGCAGCATGAAAACGGACTGATACACTAAGATAAGAAAACATTGAAACAAATGAAAAAAAATTACCTAAACATGGATGCTGAACAAAACACACCCACGTAATACTAGAATTATTCATCTTTGACGGTTCAGAGAAGGAACTAAGAAGGTCTCAGAAGCTACGGCATGGATGATGCCATTTGAGAAGACATGAGGGCACTGAGCGGATGCTCTCTGTTTTATAGCAGAGATGGTGAAGGAGAACCAGATCCAGAAGATGAGTTAAGTTCAGGGGAGCATAACAAGGGGAGAAGAAAGAGGAGGAGATTCTGGAGCTGTGACCAGGAAGAGGAAGTGGGTCTGAAGAAAAAAAGAAGAATTTAGAGTCTGTATAAAATAAGTAGGTTTGAATTTTAGTCCTTAAAATATCTCTGATTTTAAACTGTTTCTTCTCTTCTTCCTCTTTCTCTTGCTCTGCATCTTCTCCTTCTCTGCCTTCTTGACTTTCTTCTGATCTTCTCTTCTTCTTCTTTCTCTGACAGCCCCTCTTCCTCCTCACTCCCCAAGAGAGGAGTTGTATTAGTTTACTAGGGCTGTCATAACAAAGTACCACAGACTGGATCACTTAAATAACAGAGATTTATTTTCTCACAATTTTGGAGTCTAGATGTCCATGACCAAGGTGTCAGCAGGGTAGGTTTCTTCTGAGGCCTGTCTCCTTGGATTGCAGATGGCCACCCTTCTCCTTGTGTCTCTATATGGTCTTTACTTTGTGCCTATCTGTCTCTGTGCGAATATCTTCTTATAAGAATGCTGGCCATATTGAATTAAGGTTCATCCCAATTACCTCATTTTAATTTCATTGTCTTTGTCTTTTTAAAGGCACTATCTTCAAATGTAGTCATATTCTGAGAAACTGGGGTTAGAATTTGAACATATGAAATTGGGTGGGACACAGCTCAGCCCACAACAGGGGGCATCAGAGGGAATATTTTTCCCTTTCTGAAGGGTAAAGAGCTTCCTGACATATTGTGGACACGGAGGGTGTTCATTGAGCACAGTAAGTGCCAGGATCTTTTCTACTGAATCCAAAGACTTTTGAGAAGCCCCTGAGTCTAAGGACCCACACTTCAGGGGTATAGATCCTATGAAGAGGAAGGAAGACCACTTATCTAAAGACCGAATCAGCAGAGCACTGTGAAAAGACAGGAACATTAGTCCAGGAAATGCTACTGGGGTCTGCGGTGTTTGGGTGAGATCCCACAGACCTCTCCCACACAGGAAATCTCACCAGACATTGGGATGGGCTGTGTTGGCAACACCTTCCTTAAATACCTCTTGTAAGGATCCAGGCCAAGTGTTTTCTTCTTTCTGTTTAGTATTTCTAATGAGAATAACTGGCAACCTGTGCCATGTAATAGTGTCAGTAGTTCTGATTGAAAGAAATGTTCTATTTTATGTATTTTAACATTAGCACAATTTGACCACATCAGTTTCTCAGTCAAAAGTTTCCTCTGAGTTCTGCTTAGTTGAGAGCAGCTTCCAGGAAATCCTGAGGGTCAAACCTTTGCTCCACAGGTCAGAAGAGCCGAGCTATTTCAATTAATGTATTCAATAAATGGTGATAATTAAGTAAAATAAGTTTGGATAAAAATTTTGAAAATTAAGTTCTGGGAGGAACCTAACATTAATATATCAAATCTAGTCTCTCCATTAAAATGTTTCCAATGTTGCATTTCCCACATTCTGTATTCAGTGGGGAACATCCCATCTTCTCCTTTGTGCTCAAGAAATGGCAGGGAGTTCAGAAACCTTATTTTATATTCTAACATGTCACCTGTGTCATTCCAGAGATTTCTCATTTTTCTCTTTCTCTTCTGAACAGGGACTGTGAGGGAAATTCAGAAGCACAGTCCCATAACCTCAGTGTGGGTGTATGAATCCTGAGGCAGCTGGACTCAATTCTTAGCTGTGAGCACATACCCTGTGGGAGCTGCGGAGGTAGGTGCTGCGGTTTTGACCCTCACCTCCTTCTGTAGCCACAAAAGCAAGTGGTTCTCTTAACTTCCCTTTTGGAAAGCAGCTTCTTTTTATAGAAATACTAGGTAGGAAGAATCATTTGTATGGAGAAGTGAAGGTATCATGAAGATCCAGTGAGGAACGTAAATTTAGCATGGGTCCAGGTTTCAAATTGTCTTAAAATATTGACTGCCTGAAATTTACTTCCAGAAATTACTAGGTAAGAAGTCGCTAGAGATGGGAGATCACCACTTCCTAAATTACTCTTTTGTATTTTGGTTTGGAGAAGAGAAACAGGAATGCCACAAAGCTCAGCTCTGGGCACCATATCCACATCAAAGACTGTATGAATGGCTGTTCCCTGCCTGTCCTGCCATCCTGAGCATCCCTGGGACACGATGGAACATGGGCAGTGGGTGGAACAACCTAACAATCAATTCAGCGTAGGCACAAGAAAAGATAAATAGGACAGAGTACGTAATGGGAATCAATAGTAGAGAGATTTGCAGTGCATCTCAGGATGGAAGAGTTTAAATGTTTCTTGAGCAAAATGAGATCCAGAAGTTAAACCAGTGGGATTGGGAGGAAAGAACAGAGTGAGGATGGGCATGAAGGTCCTGGAGCACAAGCCCTACCACTGAAAAGCTGCTCTATCGAAAAGTGTAGGTGTTCAAAGAGTGAGGCTGTACTTAGTGTCCAGGGATGGGCTGGGCTGTCAGTGACCAGCCTACGTTTTCATAGGTTCCCTATCCCCAATTCTGGACAGTTTAAGCTCGATTCGTTGACTTGCAGTAAACATCTATGCATGCATGCTTCCCCTTGAGAGACAGAGAAGTAAATAACATCCTCTAAGATAAATAATAGTCACTTTTCCAAGTTGATATTTAGGAGTTAGAGATAATATCTGAAAATCCTCAAATTACTGCTTAGCATTTGACAGACGTAAAAAAAATTGTGACCATATTTTTTTTAAAAAAGCAGTTTACCCCCAAGGGATTGTTTTTTGTGTGTGTGTGCCTGTTCTGAATGATTTCAGAGTAATATAGAGAATGCGAGTCTATTGTCCATCACTCAGTGCTAGCACATGCAGTGTGCTAAAGCAGTACATCAGCCTCGACACCTTCTCTCACACTCATGACTGTTCAGCCAAGTTCAAGAGCATATACGGAAACTGCCATGCAAGAAATAGAAAAACATTAGATAAAGAGGTGTATAACCATGGCACATAAACTACTTTAAAAATTTTAACAGTATAACTGTTAGCTTAATAATACACTTAAAATTAAAAACAAAATTCTTTTAAGATTCAAGATAGTTGAGGAAAAGGTCTTTCTCAAAGTGAGAGAAGAGCTGAAAATACTAGGCTGCGTTTTTCTTTTTAGAAACTTAAGCTCAGATAAAAGAAGCATGATTGCATTGACTTATTAAATACCTCTACGTAAATAAAGAAAAATAGTCCAATGTTATCATGTTGACTCCTTTGACTAACATATTTTGTTAAAAGATCAGTAACCCTATTTCCCTCTATGCCCCGTGGAAGGTGCTTTTGTAGGAGGAAGAACTATTGTTTTGGAGACTTTAATTATCCTTCCTAAAATAACCACTTCCCAAACTGATAATGTGCTGCCTCTGTTAAATAACTTTTGAAGGAAAAAAAATGTTGGAGGTGAATATAATCATTATCTTAGAAAACTGAGTTTGATGTTAACACATTTTTGTTTATTTTTACCCCACTTTTCATCTTGCTGTTAGTTTTCCTCAGGGAACACCCTACTCCATCTGTTGCAAATTTCATGGTGGCCCAAGTTTCTGATAGACGGCTTTGGCTATTATCTCTGTTAAGCACTCTCGAGGTAACTGTGGTGTGTAAGGCAGCACCTTAGAATAAAGTCTCACAACAGTCCTGGTTGAGACAATATTTAAGATGAGGAAATAGCTATCAATTACGGCCTCCCAGAAATCAGTAAGTTGTTTTTTCTTCTGCTCACAGTTAAGGCTGGCAGCTACAAATAACTCTAAGCCCTTAATTTCCTGCAGTCTTTACTTCCTTATGTAAACTGGAAAATGAAGGGAAGGGCATGGTTTTGGGAGGGGCTCGGAAGCTGACAGGATCAGGATGCTGAGATGAAAGGGGATGAAAATTGACATTCTCCTGACCACTTCACGGAATTTCAGATTCTGCCTTGACCGCAGACAATCTGGAAAGTGTTGCTCAATGTTACTTCAGATGAGTTCAGTAAAGCATAGAAAGCTCAGTAAATGAGATTATAAATAGAAGTTAAGATAGGTTGATAATAAAAGCTCAGAGATGCTTTTCGGTACCCTAAACCCTACCATTCACCTGGACTGCCCAGCCCTGCATACTTCTTCTCTTCTGCTTGCTGAACAACAAACTATTTAGTTGCTTTCCTTATACTTAACTGTGCGTCAGTTCCCCAGACACATTTTCTTTCTTCTGGGATTGCCTTTCTTATGACATTTTCTCCTTTAAAGTCGCCTCAATGCAGTCAATGGTGTCTCCAATAAGCCACATCTTTTTCTAAGTTCAGACATCTGCTTTTGGGAGAACAGTTTTTCAATTCACCACAAAACCGCAAAGTATCAAAAAAGAGTCCAGAAGTGTATAGACAACTCACCATAAATGGAGTCCAAGTCTCCAACAGCAAAAACGGCCATGGTGCGCCTGTGAGAGTCAATTCGGGGCCTCCTCAGCCAGCACTGGAGGCAGAGAACCACTGCTCCACAGAGAAGAGCTGCCACCAAAACCAGCCGCAGGATCCTGACTCCAAAAGTAACCGAGAAAAGAATGAGGTAGAGCATGCGGGGAAGTTAAGAGCTTCCATTACTACCTAGAAGTGGGGTGAGGATTCAGCTAGACTGGCCACAAGCAATGTGGGACACCAAATTCCTTAAACAATTTCCTACCACCACCCATACATTTCCACTGAACTGGAAATATTCTTTGGCCCCAGAGAGGATGGATCTTTCCAGGTGGTAATAATCATTTTCTCCTTAGAAATTGGAGGCTTATTCTAAAAGGCAGTGTCTTAAAATTCATTCATCCATTCTTCCTTTCAGACATCCATCCATCCATTCATCCATCCATGCATCCGTTCATTCATCCATTCATCCCTTCATCCACCCATCCATTCATCCATCCATGCATCCGTCCATTCATTCATTCATCCCTTCAGCCATCCATCCATCCACCCATCCATCCATCCATGTATCCATCCATCCATCCATCCATTCATCCACCCAGTTAGTATTTAAGCAACTGCACACACTTTAGATATTGGGGTTAGGAATTCAAAAGTAGGCAGAGAGGGTCTTTGCCTTTAAGGAGATAACCTGCTAATTGAGTGAACTGACAATGTTAAGTTTAGAATATACAAATGTCAAGATTTAAGAGGTTAAGATTTCTGAAGGGGCCGGGTGCAGTGGCTCATGCCTGTAATCCCAACACTTTGGGAGTCCAAGGCGGGCAGATCATGAGGTCAGGAGATCGAGACTATCCTGGCCAACATGGTGAAACCCTGTCTCTACTAAAATACAAAAAATTAGCTGGATGTGGTGGTGCATGCCTGTAGTCCCAGCTACTTGGGAGACTGAGGCAGAAGAATTGCTTGAACCCAGGAGGCGGAGGTTGCAGGGAGCCAAGATCATGCCACTGAACTACAGCCTGGTGACAGAGCAAAACTCTGTCTCGAAACAAAAAAAATCTGTAGGATTATCTCATAGAAGAGCTAGTGGTCATTTGGAATGGCTTTTAAGGCCAGAACTAGTATCAGTGGAGGGTCATTTAAGGAGATTTCAATAACAATGTTTTTTTTCTACTATATTTTCAAAAATAACAATTATTTTGCTGTTAAAGATTTTCAACTCTAGAATAAACTTATTTTTAAAAATAGTGAGTCCCTTTGTCACAAGAAGTGTTTAAGGAAACATTGGCCAACAATCTGCAAGTGATATTTCTATATTCATTTGCATGACCCCTAATCTTTCCTTAAGCTGTATGATTTCATGTACCATCTTGAATTATTTAGGAGAAAGAGTGTGTATATACCACCAACTGTCATGTAAAACAAAAGTAAGATATCCTTACCAGATATACCAGCCTTTAGGGTGTTGATCATTATAATTTACACACCTGGTGATAAAGGAAGAGGGTTAGTCCTGGAACTCTGGATAGCCAAAGCCTATTTCTTTCACCCAATAACATTGGTATTGATCACACTTGTTTCTCCAGAACAATCACCTACCTATTCCCATACCAGCCCACACCTCCCGGCACCCAGCACAATTATGCAAATGTTTATGCCCACTCAATTCAAGGCACTGAGAATACAAGTAAATGTGAAATTATCAGACTGATATATAAACAGATAATTGCATTATAATGGGTTTGATTCTAGAGTTACAAATACTGTTATGCATTGAGAAGGCAGTGACTAACTCTTCAGGGACAACAAATCACAGGTGTCGGGTGTTAGGCAGATAACCATTATAGCTATATACTGTTCATCTAGAAACCCACAGTCACGTAAAACTCAAATTCTCCAGGGAAGAACATCTTGGTAGAGAATAGGAGGCATCGGACAACTGTTTGCACTCTTGTTATACAATTGGTGAGGAAAGAAATCAGGCTAGGAGGAAAATGAATGAATGTGATCATACCTACCATTTACCAAGGAGTTAGAAGTGGATTCCTTCAGTCAGGAAGTTGACCCTCCTGTGTGTGTCTAGCCACAACTCAATCATTCTTGAGACAAGTTTTAAAAGGTCACAGACAGACAAAGTTCACAGAGTGATTTTTGGGAGGTATAACTCGGCAGGCATAGAATCCCTCACTATGCCTAACATGGCACACTAAATGTAAGTGGGCTGATGGACGCTTTTCATACCTCAGTATACGAACTACTTTTAAGGTATTCTGTGCTTCAGCAGTGGAAATCTGTTATTCACAGTCAGATACACTTCTGAGAAGACACTATACTTAATCATATCTTCTTCAGCCGTTGTTAAAATAACTCAGTTCATTTCAGTTTGAAGACATTCATAAATGTCAGTTAATTTATTACGTCTAGCTTCCCTGAGGAGGCAGGGTGTCATCCCATCATCATATCAGTCAGAAATGACTTTTAACATATGTGAAGTGTCCATTTAAAAATTTTATCACAAACGCTTAAGACAGAAACCAATCACCCAGCCTACAGATGATTTCATCCCCCTCCACGTATAAATCTCTGCTGCTTTTTTTTTCTATCTGTTTTTTGTTTGTTTGCTCTTTGTTCTGAGCACACAGAGGGTTTAGCAAAATTCACAGGTATGCCTGTAGTCTCAGCTACTCAGGAGGCTGAGGCAGGAGAATGGCGTGAACCTGGGAGGCGGAGCTTGCAGTGAGCCAAGATAGCACCACCACATTCCAGCCTGGGCGACAGAGTGAGACTCCATCTCAAAAAAAAAAAAAAGAAAAAGAAAAAAAATTCACAGGTGTGGCTGGAAAAAAAAATGGCAACTGAAGTAAGACTTTAAAAAGCATTCTAAGACAAATGACCATCAATAAAAGATGTGAAAAATAATTAATGGGATATACTTACAGAGGAATATTATTAAATCATCAAAAATAATGTAGACATGCTTATAAATAAGTCTTGCTAAGTAGTATAGAGACTTCAATCTAACTTTGTATATATTATTTTTCACAAGTACAATGATTTCACCAAAATTACTACCAGACATAAATATACACCAAACTACTAAAGTGCCCACTTCTCTTGAAGATGGCATTATGAAGAACTCTATCCCTTTACTATTGTTTGAATTATTGTAATGTACATGAATCACTTTGTAGTAAAAAGAACTTTAAAATATTACGTTAAAAAATTAAAACATTAAAAATACAGATTTTTTAAGAGGCAGAAGTGGGGACATTCTCTTGGTGTCCTGATTCAGTGAATAAAGCAGAAGGGTTTGTTTTGTTTTGTTCTGTTTGTTCTGTTTTGAATTGTGACATCTAAGCTCATGACCAGGAATACGGATTATTCCATCTCCCTTCTCTTCCTTTTCTTTTTTTCTATTTTAAAATAGCCCCTTTACTTATAGTTGAACTCAATTCTAAATATTAACCACCTCATTTTGTTTCTTAAATCTCATTTTTAAGGCCCTCTGTTTTTTTTCTTTCTGGGCTAACAATTTTCCAAACCGACTTGTTTCACTTTTTCTTTCTGAGCTGTTGCACCCTCTGGTGGAGCTTCTGATAAGCAATAACATGGCTAGGAAGCAGTTAGCTGGAGAAATGCAGTAATCACGTAAGTTCTAAATTGCAGGCACCTTTGAGATCGCTTATTCACCTTTAGGATTTTGCACAGTGTACCACTAAGACTTAAGGTGGAGAAAGGAAGTGGGGAGGTCACTACCTAGTCAGAGAACTACACATGTGTCTTCTGGCTCCATATGCTCCCCTCCCTAAACATTATTTCCATTTCTCTCTTAAATTCAAGTTTTAAACAGATACTTTTTGAGTTCCTAAAAAACTAAGATTATTCTAATTACTCAAATATTACTTCCAAGATAGTCAGTATGGGAAACGTTATATTTTTGAAAATGAAATTATTCCTCAGAGATTGGTCAAATCGGTATGATTATGCTAAAAAGAAATATAATCATCAGGGGGCGGTGAGAGCTGACTCTAATATGTGAGAAAGACATTTGGAATAAGAGTTATCTAGAATTCGTTGTTGAAGGAGATAATTTCTGTCCTTATCAGAATGATTTCCTTTTGTGACTTTGATGTCATGGAGATGATTTCTGTGCTACACGGATGGTGAGATGAGTTGATCTTTATTCTTCTTCTTGGTGCTGAGAATCTGTGGACCTTAGATTAACTATACGTTTATGAATTTGATAAATTCAGGAAGAAATATGCAGAGTTGCTCCACTGGTTTCTCTGTCACATCACTCAGCATTTTCTAGGGCAGACACTCTTCTAAAATCAGATGAGTAACTATATGTGAAATAACGGACTCTCAAACTTCCATCCCTATACGTTTGGGTCATACTATTATAATTCTCCTTTTACAACTGAGAAAACTCAGTCACAGAGACATTAAGTAACTTGCCCAAGTTAGCATAGCTGGAAGTGGTAGAACTAGGTTTTAAACTCAAATGTTCTGGCTGCAGAGTCCATGTCTCTTAGCACCATGTAGTGGTGCAACTGGGAACAGTAATAGCCAGTTCTAACCTCATATTACTGTGTGGAGTATTGCCTGAGTGAATCCAATATCCCGTGTTCCAAATGCTTTAAGGAAATACTGAAAATTTTTTTAAAAATGGAAATGAGAGCCTGGTGAGGATCAGACAAAGAGAATAGGCCAATAGTGAGATCAGTTTGTAAACCGAATATAGTAAATACCATATATAAAATTTGAATTGAACTGTAGATCTGACTTAAGCTTTCTAGCAGCTAACATAATGAGAGAGAATATTGGTTATGTAGTGTCCTCTAAAATTAACAAAATGAACAGCATTACTCACCAGATGTACAACTATTCCTGGCATAGAACCGAGAGAAAAATTCAAGCTATGAGGCCTCACAAAGAGAGCACTGTTAACATAAGAACAGTGTTTTCCATAGTATTCTCAGAATAAATTCAACAACAAATTTCATGATTTTTTTTTTGTTATTTTTAAAAAGTCATTTCTCAACATAGGCCAAAGTACAATTCAGCTACAGTAATTTGAGGGACGGATGAGTCACAAATCATATCACCCAGAAACTGGTAGTAAATTGTACACTATCTCAAAGAATGAATGGACTGTGTATCTCTCAGGTATTTCACCAGATGTGTAATTGATTAAATGTTGGATATACAATATAACTTTGTGGTTGAAATTCTGGGCTCGGGAGTCAGTCCCAGGTCCAAGTCCAAGTTCTGCCTTTTAACTTGCTTTCCTACTCCTGAGTAAACTATTTCTCTTTATCGAAGCCAAGCAAGATGTGGTATGTCATTAGAAAATCTATCAATGCAATTAATTTACAGAATCTTTTATATGTATAGTCATATTTATGTTTCATAAATCAATCTATTTTTGTAGATTCATGCACATCAGTGTCCTTGGCAATTTATCAGAAGAGGACTAAGTCAGAAGTATGATAAGAGGGGCTCTGTCATGTTTTATTTCATAAAATAAATTACTGATAGCATTTAAATTCTATACAAAGACAGCACAGCAATGCTTTGTTCATGTTAAAAATAGAGTTATAAAAGTAAAATAATTGGATTGGATCAGAAAAACATACCATGGTGTTTGAAAACAAATTTAAATAGGTAATAATAAAATAGACCAGTTTTTTTGTTGTTGTTATTTGAGACGGAGTCTCGCTCTGTCACCCAGGCTGGAGTGCAGTGGTGCGATCTCAGCTCACTACAAGCTCCACCTCCCAGGTTCAAGTGATACTCTTGCCTCAGCCTCTTGATGAGCTGGGATTACAGGTGTGTGACACCACACCTGGCTAATTTTTGTATTTTCAGTGGAGATGGGGTTTCACCATGTTGGCCAGGCTGGTCTCGAACTCCGCACCTCAGGTGATCCACCCACCTTGGCCTCCCAAAGTGCTAGGATTACAGGGTTAGCCACTGCACCTGGTCGATCGACCAGTTTTTTTTTTTAATGGAAAATATATGCAAATTGTTTTGCACAATTCTTGGAACATGGAAGTTGACTAATACAAATGTTTTTATTTCTAGCTAATCAGCACCTCCTCCACCATGGCCTCTACCTAGGCGACCTGTGTTTCGTGTTTTTACTTTGATACTCCCTTGCATTCCAATCCAAGTCTCCCTTTCCGGTGTCCATTTTGCACGTGAACTTTGGACAAGTTACTGTCCTTTTGTTTCTTATTTCTGAAAGACATTTGGAGTAGGCCACCTTTATGGTCCTTTTCACTGTAATCTGCCATGTTTGTGTGTTACGGTCTAATAGCAGTGCTGGTAAATGGATGAATATGGTCTCTTGGCTGGGTAGTGTATTTTAACAGGAGATAATGTCCCAGATCACAGGAGCGATTCTACACTGAAGTCTCTTGTATAAATACAGTTAGAGAAAGAGGATTTTGTTGGTCTGCACTGAAGTCTCTTGTATAAATATAGTTAGAGAAAGAGGATTTTGTTGGAGGGAACTTTTTACTACTGCAGAAAACAGCGTGACTTTCCTTATAGATTCATTCCACTGACACTGTCTTGTGATAACAAAAGATTTGAGATACTGTGCCCATCTTCAGTACATTTTCTTACCTCATAGGACCACCCTACATTCCCAGCCACTCTCTTTTTTGTTTTTATTTTCTGCCCATTTACATTTCATTTGAGGGTTTTGTTTTGTTTTGTTTTTACTCAAAAGCAATTGTACTAAATAATGACAAACATTACAGACACTTAGATGCAAAATGATGTAGCCAAAGAATGTGATACCTAAGTACCAGTTGAAGCCCTACTACTAATTTACTATTTCTCTTAGGTTTCAATTCCTTCACCTAAAAGGGAGAGCAGTAGCCTCAGTAGCTCTAAAGTCAGCATAAAAACTTTCTTAATATCATATTTTTTCTGTCACGTTGATTAGAGTTAGATTCAACATTTAAGATCCTTTCCAATTCTGAACTTCTTTATTTTGTTAGTGTGGGTCAAAGGCAGAAGATGAGGAGATAAGATAAGGGCAGCCAGGAAATCCGGAGGCAGATAAGCATGCAAACAATCAAATCCTCTCTTACATCACAAACAGCATAAGACAGAGTGAAAAAGCAGTTCCAAAATTAACGTAAAGAAATAGCAATCGAGAGCCACGCAAAAGCTGAAAGAGCAGCATAAATTTAATAAGCAGATTGTTAACCATAAGATGATCTACCAGAAACAGGTGAATGGTCCCAATCCCTGCTGTGCAATACAAGCATAAGCCTCCTGCTATACATGGAGCATGGCTTTGAGGGTAACAGGCAATGAAAACAGCTGACTAACAGTAAGGGCTGCAACCAGGAGAAGATAGTGCTGGGTGGAAGTGCTTTTCTGACACTAAATCACAATGAATTACAGATATTAATTATCGGTACCATTATGAATGGCACCTTCTCTTCATCTCCTGAATAGAATTCTGAGAACCATTAAGTCTATAGCACAAAAAGTGAAAAAACTGAGTCAATTGTTCACATAATTCATATCACGAGCACTTTGAAATATACACACAGTACAGGTTAGAATTTTGATTAATCTGCTTGTATTTTAAACTGAGTTATACAGAAAACTGCCTCCCTTGGTCACTGTGATTTTTGAGTGTGGATGCAGCCATCGTGATTCTTTTATGAACTTAAAATACCCTTGAAACCTTGAGGAAGAGAAATTTAGTGCGCAAAAATATCTAGAAATCAGCTAGACCTGTTATTTATTTAACAAAGCTGATCGTAATGAAAATTATCTTTCCTGTTTAAAAAAAATTGAGCAATCTGCATTTACAAACTATTTACTTTTCTTCTGATTATAATGATCATTTGTAACTCAGCTGGGCTTTTTCTAATGACTTGAGCCTTTTTTATACTTTGAATTTTTTTCAAATAATTCTAAATAAAAACATGGAGTTTTTTGGTGTTTACTTACATTTCATCTTCTTCACATGGTAGGTCCGAGAGCACCAACTGAAACACATGTTGTAGAACAATAAAATCCAAACATCTCATCAATCTAATCCTTTAATACAAGCAGCGCCTAGAGACAATGTGGGTTTATATCATTTCGTTTGCTTTTTTAATTAAAAGCTCTGTAGCAGACTTTATTGTTGGTACACAGAATTTTAATTGAAAAAAATCTCTGGGTGGATTCTTAAGCTCAGCAGTGGCAGAAGATATATGTTTTGAACCAGATTCCATTTCTACATACCAATATAAATGGATTTTACGACAATTTTTGTTTTTTCTATACGCAGATTTTGCTTGCTCTAAAGAGCTTTTGTGCACCTTGCATTTTTTCTTTTCATGTTTTAGCTACAGGACAAAAGTTCGTTATTAGTGAGTATTATTATCACGCAAAAAAAGTTCCAAGTACATACATGGAAACAGAAGTCAATCCTATCAGCATTAATGGGTATTAAATATATATTCATGAAAGGGTGACTTTAACCTGCTCTAAGGGTAAGATCCATTTAAGATCACATGACATTCCAGTTGAGATTTACAGTCTTCTCTTTATCAGAGAAGAGGAAAAAAGTAATCATTTTGTTTGCTTTGTTTGAAAAGACCAATACTATAAGCATTCTAAAATAATGCTCTTAGCTCTCTGCACTGAGTGTCACAGGTTACAACATCTCATACACCAAATCACAAGGAAAAAGGCACTTCTTTCTAAAGGTTTTATTATCTGTTTGCTTGCTTGACCCTTTGAACCAGGACTCCTTCCTTGCACAATGAGAAAGTCTTTAAATGGCATTTATATGTAGCTCTAAATACTTCGTTGATGAGGTCAGTTGAAGTATTTATTTTCCTGGACTATAACATGCACATAAAAGTAAAAGAAGTTACAAAATTGAAAATGATAGACTTGGGATTTCTATGTGAGATGTGTCTTTTCCCCCCTTAATCCCAAATACATCTCCTTCAGCACCTTGTATTTACTCCACCAAGTTTATCTGGGCAAAGAGATTTGTGGAGTTGCAGATGGAGCCATGAATTGGCCATCAGAGAGCATGGTAATGAACAATTTATAAGCACAGAAAATGAGTTGCATTCTTTTTTGCTAGGATGCTGCAAATAGATTTGCATACTAAGTGAAAGGAAAGTGAACATTCACATTTTGTCCATAAAGAAAGTTTATTTATGAGTAGATGAAATCATCTGGGATCCAGCTTAACAGATAAACGATGCCAGCATTTCACTTTCTGGTCACTTCCATGTCTTTTGTGTGTGTTGTAACCTAGCAATAGTACACAGTATTAAATTATTAGCACCTCACTGCCAACACATTACCTTTCAAACTTCCAGTTATTATGAAGAGGTAAGAAAAGCCATAATTTACTTTAGATCTAAATATTTCAGGTACCTTACATTGAAGTAGCACAGATATAGAGATGCACGTATTAGTCAGAAAGGGATGCTGGAGCAGAGGAACTGAAATAAATCCTAAAATGATTCTGTCTACATCAGTCAGCATTGAAAAACTGTCAAGCATCCAGTATGGTTGCAGGCAATAGTAAACACGTCTTAAATTAATCCAGCCATAGCATTTTGTTCTGTGTCAATAGCAGTTTGAATTTAAAAAAAATTACAGCATAGAAAAGTTAAACAAAGGTTAAATTTGCAATCACATTATTTCGGTAGCAATAGAACTAATTAAAGGAGAAATAAGACTAATGCCATGGACATTTTGTTTTGTCCCTCTGACCAATGAATACGAGAAATCATAAGATGTTAGTAACACTTGAAAGAAATCTTTTAAATGTAGAACAGTTAAGTTGCTCACATATAAACCTATAGCAAATCAAGTCCTCAGAGTACCTCTGGAAACCTTAACCCAGAAAGAGAGAGAGTTACCTGGAATAGTGGCAAACACAAGATCCCTATTGTTGAGATCACTGAAGTGACACTGAAAAGTCTGGATCTTGACATATTTAAAGGACAATCAGCTTAGGATCATGGTTTGGTGCCTGTGTTTATTTCCTTCTTTTCAGAACTTACTAGCTTCCCTGTAAGTTACGCGTCCTACCAGGACATGCATTAATAATGGCTCCTTGTGACTGATAAAGTGCGTGCTAGGGGAAGGAATGTTGGGTGCATGTTTACAGGTACTAAGAGCCCAAGGAGTTTAAGGTCAGAACTCAGTACTGTTTGTCAAGGCCTGTAAAAGTAGGGGTTATAAATGCTGACCTCCAGCACTAGCTGGCTACTTAATAACTTTCCGCATCCAAGTGCATGTTTTATTCCAGGAAACCTCTGAATTTCTAATACTATCTCATATTTGAAACATTTATTCAATTTGCTTCCTTTGTTGGTACTCTTTGTTCTCCTACACACCATTTTCAGTTCCAGGTCTAACCCAACCTTAGGCATAAAGCTTTCCCTGTTTTATTGCGATAATATCCCTCTTTTAAACCAGGTTTATTTCAGTGTTTATTTTATGAAACAACTCCATCACTACCACTGAAAAATAAAGCGAGAATATCTAGGGAAATTCTGAAAGAAAGAAGAGGCACTAACCTATTGTATATTAAGATGTCTTAATCTATGCATTTGACAAAAATTAATACTGATACATGTAAATAATAAGGTAAATGTAAAAGAATAGAGAGTTTAGAAATGGAGAGTTTAGACTCAAATAAACAAATTTATTTAAGCTTCCGTTTTAAACTAGTGGAGAGAAGATGGATATCTTTCAGGGTACAATGAAGAACTAAATGGTTATGTGGAAAGAATGTAACGAATGATTGTTAAGATGCTTAACTTCCGTCATAATTAGATAAACATACCTTAGAATTATAATCAGATTGGCAAATTCAAAAAATTGATACTATAGGGAGGAGGGATAAATATGGGGAAACAAATACTCTCTTATATGTTTGGGAAAACTGTACAGCTTATCTGGAAAACAAGTAGGCAATATACATCAACATAAAAAATAAATATGCCCTGAGAGCAAGAATTCTCCTCGCAAGATACATGAACGTACCCCTTACACATGGCACAAATTATTATATGCAGTGATGTTCATCAGAGCATTGTTGGTGTTAACAGAATATTGGAAACAGCAAATATTCATGAAAATGTGACAGACTGAGTACAAAATGGTTATATAAATTTAACAGAATACTAGGAATCTGCTTTAAAAGGTGGAGACAGATCACAGATGCTGATATAGAGAGGTCTCTAATAGTTATTAAGTAAAAGGTACAAAAATCACAGAATATTGTGTACATCATGTTACCTTTGTATGCAAAAATAGGAAGGTAGAGCTGTAGTATTCTCTCCATACACAAAGTTTAGGCATATATACTTATATATGCATGGGATTTCTCTGCATGAAACTGCTAACAGTGGTTGCTCTGTAAAAGGGAAATTGGAAACTAAGAAAACAAGAGTGGGAAGGAAATTTACTTTCACTGTTACTTCCTTCTATTTTTGATATTTTTTACAATGTCTAGATGTCATCTAATTATTTTATACATACATTCACTTCTAACAGCCAATTTTGAAGGCAATCATCTACAATGCAGAATGAGAATATTATAATTCAAGCTCCAGTGTAGTTCACCAAGTCCAATTCAAATTGTAATATATGAACCCATTTATGATCACACACATAGATTACTCTAGAAACAAACCAGCAGTGTTAGTTATCTAAACTACTGCACAGAGTTGGCCATCATAGTGTACGGACTAGTTGAGCTGCATCTGGATGGGTGAAGCCGACTGTGTGGTGACCATGGTCTGTTTAGTATGCAGCCACAGTCACAGCCATGCATTTCAAAGCAGAGGAAGGGCTTGGTGCCAATGCCAATAGGAGAAAAGTAAACCAAATCTACAGTATTATTTATCCCTAAGACACCCTCCATTTTGAGTGTCTCTGAAGCCTGTAATTAAACAGAATGAAAAATAGGCTTTTCACTGGTGAACTTATTTATTAGGCAGTCAGAAGCCTGACTTCCGTCAGTGGAGTCAATGATCTTAAGAATTTCTGGGAAAGGAAGAGGCCAGATGACTGGAAAAGAGAATGGAAATAAGGGCAGCATATTTGGTTTTGCTTCAGAAACTGCAATAATGACCAACTAGATACATGGAGTAGATAATTCTTGTCCAAAAAAAAAAAAAAAAAAGCATGATTCTGCAGCAGCTGCCTGACTAGGAGTACGGTAGCTGAGTGGAGGTGGAGTCTATAGTCACAATAGTAACGCAAACACCACTATTATATTTGGTGCTAAAATCAAATTTTACATTCATTTCCACCTTTCTATTTCCAAATTGCCATTTATCCATTTACATCTGTGACTTCCCCACGCCACTTCCAAAGTCCAGCATAATATTTTCTAAGACAGTAGTTTCTCCATTATATTTCCTTCCTAGCATCATGGCAGTGTGGTGGTCACGGAATAGAAAAGCTGACCATAAGCACAATTTTACCTGCAAAGTTTTTTAAATAGATACTTACAATTAAAATAGCTTATTTTGTGATAAATTTAAATTCGCATGCAGTCTTAAGAATTACTACAGAGATCCCATATACTCTTCATTTAGTTTACCCCAGTGGTAGCATCTTACATAACTGTTATACAGTATCACAACCGGAAAATTGACATGGAGAAAATCCACTATCTGTATGATTTTAAAAAAAAATTATGTACATAGTAATCGTTCACATGTATGGGGCACGTGTGATATTTTATCACTTAACATGTGTGATTAATTTTGTAAGTCCAACTACATCCTTATGTGCATGAACTTGTGGTAGTGAATTGTCATCACTGGAAAGTCAAGCTGAAGATGGATGAGTGCTATACATAGCAGTATGGCCTCTTAGATCACTAAGATTCTAGGGACAGTTTATGTTTGATTATAAGAGTAGAAGTAAGCCAAACTTGAATCTGTAGAAGAGGAAAGGACATGCACTGTGACAGTGTATAAAATTCGCCCAGCACTTGGATGGCGGACCTTTCATCTACGTCTTTGTTACAAGAGAATGGGCACACATATATTCAACTTCACAGCTCTGGTTATTCACCTGTCTCTTTTCTTTGTGAAAAGGAATTAATCCTTCTGAAATGGCCGGAGTTCAGGAAATATGAAAACTATCCTCTGGATTTGGAGCCTGACATAAGTCAAAATTCCCTGAAGCTCTGAAGTCATATCAATATTTGTCTTTAAAGGTCATGGCATGCAGCTGTTCGAAAGGATTGAGGACCAAAATTCAAGGAATTAAGCGAGAATAAATAAAAGGTATGAATAAAAGTGGGCATGCATAAAGGAAGGTCCAAAGAGCAAGCAAGGGAGCACCAGCTACTCTCTTTATCAAAATTAAAAGTGCAAGTTAAGGTTCTAGGAGTTAGGAAGCCTTGGTCACTAATAAGCAGCAGTATCACAATAAACAGTTATTTATAAAAGCTGCATTTTCTAAAATAATGATAATAATATTGAATTATCTTTCTCAAATAATTTCATTAAAGATCACATTGAAACTATCAACATGAAATCAGATATTGCACAGATGTAAGATGTTGATTACTGGAGCATAAAACACAACAAAATAAAATAAACGAGAATTTCAAAATTAATTCAGAGATCCATGGAAACAATATGAGTTGAGGTAATACAAGGAGGACATAAAATGAGGCAGCAAGTTGTCAGAGTCTCTAGTTTCTCCATTTGCTTCTTCCCGCGGTGAAAGGAAATATTGATTACATTGCCAAATCAATGATCAACTTTTAGTCATCTTACTTTAAGTAATGGACAACATTTGACACAGTTAATCACTTCTTGCTCCTTTACCTTCCTCACTCGGCTTCAAGAACAATAGCGTTTTGATTTGCCTCCCAGTTTACTGACCATTTCTGTTCAACTCTCTAGACCTGACATGTTAGGGATGCCTTCAGACTCAGTTCTCAGAACTCTTTCTCTTCTATATACATCCACTCTCTCAAGAATCTCAGTCAGTCTTACAGATTATCATCCATAAAATGACAACTCTGAGATTTGTATCTTCAATCCAGATAGTTCCCCGGAACCCATGTAATCAACTCCATATCAGTTGGCTGGGGAGGAGATTGTCGTGATATTTAATATAGCAGCTGAGGAAAACATTGCTGAGAATGTGGCATTTCAGCAAGGACCTTAAGGAAGTGATGAAGTAAGCCACATGGAAAAACGGGAGAGGTGCATTTCAGACAAAGGAAAGATCGGATGCAAAGTCCCCTGAGACAGAAGAATGCCTGGGAAATGTGTGGAAAAGCAAGAAGGCAGAGTGCCTAGAACAGACGGAGTTGAGCAGAGACTGTCAGTTGGCTGGGGAGGAGATTGTTGTGGTAGCAGCTGAGGAAACATCACATGTCACATCACATCCATGTCATCATTGGACATATTAGACTTCTGCAAATAAACTTAACCCAAACCTAGCTTCTCACTTTTCTTATCTCTTCTCTATCCTTTGTGTTTTCTCCAAATATTTCCTATATCAGTAAGCTAAAACATCCTTTTTGTTTTCTCAGGCCAAAAATCTTATAAATATTTTTTAGTTCTCTCCTTCATATGCCATGTCTAATGTATCAGTAAATCCTGTAGTCTCAAATTTGAAAATATATACAGACCCTCAACACTTTTTACTACCTTGACTAGCAACTTTTTACCTAACTTACTCACCAACCACCTTCATATGTTACCAAAATTACCATCAATAGGTTCTTAGCAGGTACTTCTGTTTTTCCATTTGCCTATCTACAATATAGCAACAAGAATGATGGTGTTTTTGTTTTTGTTTTTGTTTTTGTTTTGACAGAATCTCCCTCTTCCACCCAGGCTAGAGAGTGCAGTGGCACAATCTTGTTTCATTGCAACCTCCACCTCCCAGGTTCAATCGATTCTCCTGCTTCAGTCTCCCAAGTAGCTGGGATTACAGGTGCCCACAACCATGCCTGGCTAATTTTTGTATTATTAGTAGAGACGGGGTTTCACCAAGTTGGCCAGACTGGTCT